AAAAAATTATTTTACGAACAACTACAGAGATACATCGTCATAAATGCGAACTGGATTTACTGTTATTTTGTAGTTACTACCTGCATTAAATGATTAAAGGGGAATAATCAAAACTAATTTAATAATAACAAAACATACAACATGTAGAAATCATAGTAAATGTTCAATATGTCTACCTTCAGACATTACGCATGCGTCTAGACGTCGGCGCATTGAGCCACGTATTCGCTCAAATATTCCTGGAGTCTCTCTAATTACCCTGCACGCATCGATAATGCGGTTTCTTAAGTCCTCTACATCGCGAACAGGAGTACGATAAACCAAATGCTGCAAATGGCCCCAAGTAGAGAAATCGAGAGGATTGAGATCCGGGGATCGAGCGGGCCTATTCTGTGGTCCTTCTCGACGTATCCACTGATTTGCATATGTTTCAGTTAAATGCTGACATGCTACTTGACTAAAATGGGCGGGAACCCCATCATGCATAAAAACCATATCCCTTCTGACGCCCAAAGGAACTTCCTCCAGCAGTACGAGATGCTCTTCTCTTAAAAATTGAACGTATGCCCTCTTAAATGTTTTACACTTATTTAGTTATACCCTGTATACATATATAAGGTGTTGTACTGTCATTAACCGTTACTTGCAACTTTACAATAAATGCAATACGCAACAGGTCAAAGATTCTAGACTTGGTTGTTCGAGCAATGACAATACATTTTTCCTACTCAGCAAATAGTTATTTATGCAACAAGTGCAAAAAGTAAGTGTTTATTGCACGCGACGTGAATTTGTCCAACGAGGCCGTTAGGCCGAGTTTGACAACACGTCGAGTGCAATAAACACTTTTTGCACGAGTTGCATACAATATTTTTTCTACGTTCATGAAAAAAAANGGAAAAAATTTTATATGAACTTGTGACATTATTTTCTCATTATCTATCCATATCCGAGAGATTGCCCACCATTTCCGGGACACCCTGTATATATAATTGCGTAATGCGTATAAGTGCGTAATATAAAAATAATTAGAATAATGAAAAAATATAAGAACGAAATTAATTTTTTTTATTGAAGAACATATACGGAATTAAAAAATATTAAGACATATCAATGCCTACATCTACACATTTATTTTAATTGAATTGTTATGGTCGACAAATCCTTTTACATACAACAAAGTGCTGTGAAGTGCAAATTTAAATGACACTTTAATTAAGCTTTCGTGTAGATTTTGTATTTACAGATCAGCAAAATAACTTGTGGAGATGTACCAATACAAATGTTATTGTTATTTAGTGCCCGGGAAAATGTGGGAAATCTCCCGGATGCAGATAGAACAAGAAAAAATAAGATGACAAGTTCCTATAAAATTTTTTCGTACAGGCCCTCCCTACAGAGATATGTGTCCCTGAAGGACGCCGCTGGCAACCGTTTTTTCTTGAATAACTTTTAAAGTACTTAATATAATTTAATAAAAATATTATGTGATAGACACTATTAAGGTCCTTTTAAAATAGTGTTCTTGAAACATATTTAGCTTTTTTAGTTTACCAGGGGCGGGCTAAGCTTTACAACTTAATGCCTAATTTTTTAACACCCTTTATGATAAGACTTTAAAATAATAAATCTGGATAGCTTCAACCTTAGACTAAAAAAAGGTACTCTTGTTTATTGTCGATAAAATGAATCGTTTACGAGAAATAGAATAATAAACGAATTCATGTTTTATTTTTAATAAAAAGGGACGTGATTTCTATTTTTTTTCTCAACAACAAAGTAACATCGAAGACACATTGATCCTTTACTCCGATTTTTGCATTCCGTGGTGAATTTAATTGTGAAATAAATCGTAATATGGAATATACGTTTATTGAGTATGCAGATATGCGTCTTGCAATGCTTTACAAGCCAGAAGGTTCCATCACGACAGATTTCCTAATAGTGCTCTGCCAAACCAGAAGACATTTCAACAAGTTGACCAACCTCCAAGGGAGAATGGTGGGCGATTCCAGTTAATAAGGTAATACATATTATTGACTTTCTTCATATTTGTAGGAAAATTTGGAAAAAATAATACTGATGCTGGTCTGAGAAGAACCGTACGTACGCCGCAATTAGAGGAAAATAATTTAATTGCTGTAGAAGACACTCCATCAACGAGCACTCGAAAATTATCAGCACAGTTTAATACATCGAAGCCATAGTACATGAAGTTCTTCAAAAACAGCTGTTATATCCATACCAAAATACATGAACTGATTCCTGAAGATTTTCCTCGTAGAATGCAGTTTGCAAACTAGCTATTGGATCAGCAACGAAATAATGCAAACTTCATTAGCACTATTCTTTTCACGGATGAAGGTTTACCAAAAATGGTATCACAAATTTACACAATACTCATGTATAGGCTGATGAAAATCCTCATGCCACTATTGTTTCGCATCAACATCAGTTCCAGTTAATTGACATCTGGGCAAAAATCATTGGCAATTTTTTTATTGGACCATTCGTATTGCCGGAACGATTGAATGGACAACTTTATTTGGAGTTCCTTCAGAACGCTTTGCAAGATTTAATAGATCACTTACCAATTGAAACCGGCCGAAACATGTACTTCATGCACGATAGGGCACCACCTCATTTCAGCGTTGGTGTGCGGGAGCACCTAAATAACGTCTATCCAAACCGTTCGACGGTAGAGGAGGTCTGGCCTCCTCGATCTCCCGACCTAACGCCTCTGGATTTTTACCTGTGGCGACACCTCAAACAATTGGTGTATTGCACTCCGGTCGACGCTAGGGAGGAACTTCTACAGAGAATCACGATTCATTGTGATGTGATAAGGAACAATGCTGGGTTATTGTGGCGGGTACAGCAGTCCTTAATTTGTCGTGCTCGAAAGTGTATCAGACTTCTTGTTTTTTTAATGACTTTCGTATCGCATTTTGTTGTAGAGAAAAAAAAATATAAATGATGGCCCTTTTTATTAAAAATAAAACATGAATTCGTTTATTATTCTTTTTCTCGTA